ATCCTGTTTAAATTGTATCAATAATTACGGGCTTAATGTCAGGCATTCCTTGTACATTGTCATGGTTCTGACCAGGCGCATGTAGTCTTTCAATCAGAAACTAAACAGGCATAGCATTTATTCATGCAAGATTTGAGGTTCTCATGGCAGTAGAGATGTTGATTTTGGTCTTCTGGGTCGCGATACAGTGTGCTCTTGTAAGTATTTATGAAATATTTTGAGAATTTTTTTTATCTCCACCACCAGGGTCAATGTTGGTAAGCATGTACAAAACCACAAATTAACAAGTGAAGTTGCCTCTAGTGATTAATTAAGCACTAGATAGTGCACTAATATTAGGGGAGCAACTCTAAGTACTATATTTGGTCAAAATCTATAACATTGATTAAAAGAGTAAAAGAAAATATAAAATTGTCATGCTGTATGCCATGTTGTACTTGGGGGGGGGGGGGGGAGACGGGGGAAGTTGAAAGTAATTGACACAAAATGCTTATACAAATGTTGTGTTTACAACAGTGCTGTTATTTTGGGTTGGGATGCCATGTACTCATAGGTAGATACTATTGCTTCAGAGAAACATACTGTCTCCATTTTCAGGGCTGTAGTTGGAGACAGCCCTGAAGATGGAGACAGTATGCTTCTCTGAAATGTTGGTATTTACCTACTGAGTTTAAACAGTGCCACAGTCCAGAACATCATCATCCCCAGTGCTACGGCAACCTCAAATATCATTGTATTTGTAGTTTATCATAGTTCATATTTGTGCCAGTAAATTATCTATGATACAGCAAAGGACTCTGTGTCTTACGTATTTCCTTATATATGGAGTACCATACATTAACATGCTGAAAATTTGATCACAGTGATGATCATGCATGTTTGACATTTATATTTTGTGGGGAGATTTGGAGTTAGAGAAATTTATGTATGACATTGTGTAAGTAGGTCCTCTGTGAAATTGTAACTCCGGGTTCCAAGAGCCATATGTGGCAGTAATAGGAATATTTTAAGACTAGTGCCTCTGAAAATTAAATCTATTCAAAAGGTTTTTGTGACTTAATAATACCTGTTAGGTAATTGATTGTGGTGACAGAAGTGATGGATAATTTGGAGTGTATTACGGTGGTTCAATCTGCAGAAAGTGAATTTAGTGGCATATAGGTTAGGTTAGTTTAGGTTGATGCTTTATTGGTAATTACTTTGTAAAGATAGTGCAAGTGACATTTGTAGTGTGGTGTAAAAGTATTTTATTTATTAAATGGTGATGGCATGCTGATACGTATATGTGATGAAATGTCAATATTATAGTAAGTAAATCATTAATGTTGAAGTGATTGTTAGTGCTAAAATTAATGGCGAATCATGATGTTGCAGAACGGCAATTGGTGTTTCTTTACAAAGAATAATAAAACTAGATGTGGTTCTTGATTAAGCACAAATCTGGTTGTGTACAGTACTGGGGAAAGGTACAGAAGCTATTCTTCAAAATCAGTGACATCACATTTGATGTACTGTTGAAGTTCCTGCTGCACTTGGAAGACAAGAAACTCTGGTGGATTCAAATTCTAAAGAGAGAAGAAGCTAGAAAATAAAATCAGTTTTGCATTGCATGAGAGAAAATATTCATGAAAATGTGTACATTTCAGTAACTCAGACATTCTTACAATGCTATGACCATGTATATACTTGTTTCTGAATGTCAGGTTTATTTATGGTTATTAAACCTAAACCTAACAGACTGTTCTGCCCTACCTAGTCCGCTTACCTGTCACTGTCATTTAAGGTTATTGCTTCAAATTTAATTATTAGAACTGGTTACCATGTTGTAAAGATGAACCTCATCTTATTTTCTTAGCCATTTCTTGAGATTAAAGAATACAGATTTGATGTTAACACTAAACATGATATTCATTCTCTCATGTGTGACTGTATGTATATTATGTTGCTTTAGGATATTTGTAATTGTACTAAATGCTTCAGAATTTTGCATTTTGTAATGCATATCCCAACCCCAAAATCTGATTGAATGTCCCTTGACATGTGTCTGTCACTGTGTGAGTGGGAAGAGTTGAGTAGTTTGCAGATGACTGTTATCCAACTGGGTATCAATCACACTAGGAGTGCACCTCTGTGTTATGGTTTAGTAGGTTAGGGTAGAATAAGTTTGGTTAAGTTATCTTAGTTTAGTTTGTTTTAATTTCATTTAGATCTTTCTTGCATAAAGTTACTTAAATCATAAGTTGTGTTAGTTGCATAAGTTTTCCACTACATGGTTATGCCCTTGAAGTAAACGATTCCTTAATATAAAATAAACCAAAGCATTTATTTGGCAAGCTTTAGACTTTAATGTCTGTGTTGTCTTATGCAATAACTGCCTTTTCTTCACATATAAAGTTACAAATTTTAATAAGAGTAATATTTTAATATTTGTCCTCATTCAACTGCTGTCACATTACAAACCTTTTTCCAGTTCATCTCACTTCTTGCGCCATTATATCATATTTTATTTAGAAGCTGACTGCTGATATTGTTATTTTGAAGTACATGTTTGAATTAAACTTTAGTAATCAGGTCTAACATGTACATTTTCTTTAGATATATTAATGAGTTGCATTGTGCCTGCATAACACTGAGTCCTTGCAGTTCACAGACCTTTTATACCCCTGTCCAGTAGTGCTGCTCTTGCGCTGTACAATACACGTCTCTGTATCTTTTATTCTGCTTCTTCATACCTTCGATATGACTTACGCCTTACTAATTTTATACTCCCATTTACGTCTAATTTTGGACAATGTGCACATATTGATGCATGTTCAATAAAGGTTAACCTTAGTTTTAATGAGTAATAAACAAAAATACCTTCTCAATAGGACACTTGCATGGGGCTATGAGCTTGTTTACTTTTGCTGTACATTGCTGAGTAACCAGGGCATCAAACACGCAAATATCCTGGATGACTCCTCGTATTGGTATTGAGTAAAGACTACCTTTGCGCAGAATAGTGTATGTAGCCTGTAAATAATAATGCATAACACTCAATTAACTTTTTATGGTCATCTGTTGTACCTCAGGCACATTTCTCACAAGTCTTTTGATCCTTTGTGACTCAATTGAAGTTAGGGACCAGTGTTTTAAACAGATAGCATCTGTTGGACACCACCCAACAACCTAAAATATCATACACATTTACATTACCTTGATGGGTTCAGTGATATTGGTTTTAGCCTGGATTCTGAGAGACACGCCAAGTCTGCTGTTGTTGTGAGAGACTTCGATTTCCTTCAACTGAATGGGGTCATTGTTACTTCCACAGTTGATTAATTGTACATTCTTTACATCCATGGTATCTTCAAGTCTGCTGTTGTTGTGAGAGACTTTCATTTCCTTCAAATGAATGGGGTCGTTCTTACTCCCACAGTTGATTACTTGTACATTCTTTACATCCATGGTATCTACATCTGGCTGGAAACATTCATAGACACATTTATATTCGTGTAGTCATTTTTGCTAGAACAACATTCTTGAAAAAGTTTTGTTATAATTTTTATTTGTGGTTTTTTAACCCCACTGTCAGCAGCTTGGACTGTGTAGTGTAAAGTGGTAGGATAATTGGTTAGTAATAGGTTGGAAAGAACATGCAAATAATTGGTCATAGCTGATTTTAGGTATTATTCTGATATTTGCCTGGAGGGACTGAAGAAAATCACAGAAAATAGATGCAGTTATTTTAAAAAGAACATTATTAGGGACTGGTACTTTCACTGGTTTGAGGATAACATTAAAATTAATCTCAGAGGGGAGAGAGACAGGTTGGGCATGTGACACACGCAGGAGAGATGAAAAATGCATATAAAATTTTGATTTAAGAAACCTGAAAGTAAGAGACTGCTTGGAAGATCTCTGCATAAATGGGAGGAAATTATTGCAGGGTTGGAAAGGTGTACTCTTTGAAGTACACTGACATTTGAAATTTGTTCTTCATGCCTGGATTGTTGTTGCACTAATGTGATATGAGGTTATTGTTTTGCTGCAGTGTGTTCCAAATTGATCTTGGTCCAGACTGTTGTGAAAAGTGTGACAGACATAGATGGGCCCACAAGGTGTCCTTTGCTTTGACACTAGAGTGTGAGGAACACCTAAAGTTTAATTTTAGAGAAGTTAAGTG